GGCCAACGCGCAAAGGACCATAAATCTTTCGCAGAACTTTTGTCTCGCGGCATATAGGCAGCTCCTTTTCTGGATGTTAAAGGCAGCTTTGAAATCGAATTGGTCATTGATTGGGGAATCGAGTTCGCCTTCTCCTGGCGTTATACTTTCACTGCCATTCAGCAGGCTGCAGAAATGTTCCCTCCATAATTTCAGTATGCTCTGGGCATCAGTCATTAGATCACATCTGGAGGTTCTATAAGGGTATTACGCTGGTCTTGAAACCTTCTCTTAGCCGCCGCATTTTCGCGCATTACCCCTGTCGGCCAGCTCTTCGTACTCACGCATTTCATTATCTCTCTTTTTTGTCTGCAAACTGATGTTTATGTGAAATAACAGGTTGTAGTTACTTTTTTAAGTGTTATTTCACAAAAATAAACATCGATTTCGGTCTGATGTATTTTACAGTCCTTGCAAATATTTATCTGCGTACGTATTGTTGCGGTCTAGTTGCAACAATTTAAAAATTCTAAAATTATTGCAATATATGCACCATTCAAAAGTTTTGCAGGAGCACGAGAATCCCCAAATGGAGAGCAAATAGTATCCCCCGATTTCGGGTTTTCAATGCGAATGTACGGATAGATAGATCAAGAATATGTATATGTATATATAGGGAGTAAAATAATTTGGGCCTTCCTCCCATATTTATTTATCTTTACATACATACATAAATTACAAACTGCATTTAGCAAATTTTTGCAGCCGAACTTATTTTTATTTATTTTGGTACAATGCGTATGTAAGCTAATTTAACAATAATATACCAATTAAGAATACTAAATAAGATTAAATAAGGTAAGAAATATGAAACAAAACATACATTCCACTAATGTATATTCAAATAAATTGAACATGAAAATATAGATATGTACATATGCAACAGGCCTATATTTATAAGCATTTATTTCTCAGCGCAATTAGGTCCTTACTTTCCCCCACCACCGGTAAGAATTTAAGCAATATTATCTACAGTGGTTACCATAGATTTCATGCAGAGAACGTATAATATAGAGAAGGTTCAGGGTGTACCGATTGTCAAAACGTTCCCCTTTTGGAGGGGTTCAGTTTTCTATTAGTGGATTTCACCACAAAAATATTATTAGCGGATTTCACCAATATTTAACATGAGGAGGTCGAAAATAGCAGAATTGAGCATTTTCATTGTTAAATGAGAAAAGTGATGCTAATTTCAATGTACRCTTACAGATTCGCACAGTTACAATGCGCAAACTATGGATTTTCTCCATATATTTGATAACAAAGTTCAAATGTATATATGTACATATACATGTATGTACATATGTAAGTGCAATTTGACCCATTTAATGATGAATTCCATTAAATCTGTTGAAATGTATAATTAAGTCATATTTGTACTATGACTTAAATACATATTTATCTAATATAATTATAATTAATATATGTTTTTTATTTTATATATTCATTTATTTTGGGCATTTGAAGTTTTGATAAAATCTTAAAAGTCATATGCATATAATTATGTGTACATGTAAACAGATTTCAAAACCATATGTATGCTCGCATATTCACATATCCATGTGCATATGGAGGATGGAGTCATGTGTAGAAAGCTTCCATTCACTTGGGAGTGGGCAGAAACGATTCTTTTACATATGACTCAAACAGCTCACGACTTCCGGTCCTTGACCAAGTATCCTCTGGGTAGCCTAAGAACATCCGTGCATGATATTGATATCATCGGCCTCAACACCCGCACCGTTAGTTCTGCTTTCTCCAGACTGGACAAGGAAGCAACACAAATGGGTCTGGCAGTGAACGAGGGCAAGACGAAATATCTCCTGTCANTTTTTGATTTGATTTTGATAACATCTTAAAAGTCATATGCATATAATTATGTGTACATGTGAACAGATTTCAAAACCATATGTATGCTCGCATATTCACATATGTATGTTCATATGGAGGATGGAGTCATGTGTAGAACGCTTCCATTCACTTGGGAGTGGCCAGAAAAGATTCTTTTACATATGACTCAAACAGCTCACGACTTCCGGTCCTTGACCAAGTATCCTCTGGGTAGCCTAAGAACATCCGTTTGAAGGCGAGCTAAAGTGAGAAGGCGAAACATTCCCTGCATAGGGTTGTGCGCTGGGTTTGGGACCCGYCACGTAAAAAAACCAACCCAGTGAAAGCGCAACAACAGCCTCGGACGTGAGACATCACTTTTGATGCCACCATGGCAAACGAAATAAGGACTACGAAATGAGGGCATGCACCTGGGATGTCCGGTCCCTTAATTGGGAAGGTGCCGCTGCCCAGCTGGTTGATGTCCTCGTAAAAATAAAGGCTGACATCACCACCGTCCACGAAATGCGATGGACGTGACAAGGACAAAGACGAGTAGGTCCTTGTGGCGACTTTAACACCAGGGAGGGCAAAGAAGGTATCTTTGGCACTACGGTCGGTAAATTCAGCCTCCACGAGGAACCCAAATGGGTTGCGGCTGATCGACTTCGTCGGTGCCCGAAATATGGTTATCTGCAGTACTAAATTCCAGCACAAGAAAATACATCAAGCTACCTGGCTGTCTCCGGATCGAAAAACCATCAACATATCGATCATGTTGTGATAGACGGAAGACACGTCTCCAGTGTTTTAGATTTGCGTGCGCTCCGAGGTCCTAACATCGACTCGGACCACTATCTTGTTGCAGCCAAGATTCGCACGCGCCTCTGTGCAGCAAAAAACGCACGCCATCAAGCACAAGGAAGGTTCGAATTCTAGAAGCTGCAATCACAACAGACAGCCGAACGATTTTCTACTCGGCTTGCACTCCTGCTCTCTGAGAGCACTCGTAAACAACTCGGTATAAGGGAACTGTGGGACGGCATTTCAAACTCCTTACGTGCAGCTGCAACCGAAACCATTGGTTTTCGGAAAGTACAAAAGAACAGCTGATACGACGAGGGGTGCCGTGTCGCGGCAGAGAAGAAACAGGCTGCCTACCTCGCAACGTTACGATCGATCACAACACATGGGGGATGGGATAGATACAGAGAGTTGAAGAGGGAAGCGAGACGCATTTCCAGACAGAAAAAAAAGAGGCTGAAATGCGTGACTACGAAGAGCTTGATAAGCTGGACGACAGGGGTAGTGCTCGAAAATTCTACGAAAAAATTCGGCGGCTTACAGAAGGTTTCAAGACCGGAGCATACTCTTGCAGATCCCCCAAAGGTGATCTAGTCACCGATGCCTAGAGCATACTTAAATTATGGATTGAACACTTCTCCAGCCTGCTGAATGGCCGTGAACGCACAACGCCAGAAGAAGGCGAACCCGATTCCCCAATCAATGACCAATTCGATTTCAAGGCTGCCTTTGACATCCAGAAAAGGAGCTGCCTATATGCCGCGAGAAAAAATTCTGCGAAAGATTTATGGTCCTTTGCGCTTTGGCGACGAGGTATATCGCATTCGATGGAATGATGAGCTGTATGAGATATAAGAAAACATTGCCGTAGTTCAACGAGTTAAAAGACAGCGGCTACGCTGGCTAGGTCATGTCCTCCGAACGGACGAAAACATTCTTGCTCTGAAAGAATTCTACATAGGATCTGGTGGAGAAGAACTTCACTTTGCCTGGAATCTTCAATTGACGCTGCCTTGCTGAAAGATGAAACGACTGGCGCGCTGCTGTTATTTCGTCTGTAACCGCATTAGCGGTTTCTACGCAAGTAAAGGATAAATAGAAATTGTTAACTAAGGTAGAATTTAAATAAATTTTATAATTTTAAATAAATCTTAAAGATTTGTTAGTGTTTTTTTTTTTTAAAGAATGCATGCAGAAAGTGCGCCAATTCACAATTGTCATGCGCAATAGTCACTTACGAATGCATTGACCGAACCAGCTGTTCAAATATCACTAGATACTGCAATGGGTGCTTTCATGTAATTGCATATTTCGGTATAGGATTGTGCATTTTATGTCATCGTGCAATCTTGCAGAGCAAAAGAGTCCTTCCAAAATACAAAAATTGTTAATACAAAAGGACCTATTTTCCCTCCAACTGTTTGGCACATAGCGTATCCCCGCATCTCGACAGGCTAACTGTGAATCTATTGATATTGCCGTTGCCAAATCTGGGCATTTGTCATCACAACATAATCATTTGCGGAAAGGCGTCGGGTAGGTAATTTGGAGCTGATATATCTGATGTAGATTTGAGCTCTTGAACTGTTTAAATTTTTTATAGATGAAAAAATTTATGTGGAAAATAAAAAAGGAGCAATAYCCTTTTTTGACAAATGTATTTCGTGGAAAAAAAGATTTCATATTTTTGAACTATAACAACTGTAGCATTAATTTTATATTCCAATTAACATAAGAAGTTTAATATGAGCAAAAATATTTTGATTTATGCTTTCATAAGTTTATTAAATTAACAATGTTAAACTAACTATTTATTTGRTGGAAAAATTTATTAAATTATATTAATTTATTTTTATAACTCAACACCACCCTTTTAATACTCGCTTTATTAAGTTAAATTTTACCGAAATGAAACTGCCGTCAGTATACAATGAATATACGGCATAGAAATTATATGTTTGTATAAGTTTATTAAATTTAAGACTTCGCTCATTCGCCAATCCATTTGTATAATTTTTCCGCAATTTTACAATATTAAGCTAAATAGTAATTTTTATTTAACACAACTATATTTATGCTCGCTTTACTAAGTTTAATAAGTATCTAAATTTACTAAGTTTAATATGAATATATTAAGTTTAATATTATTATTATTATATAAGTAAATGGGATGTGTTGCCTCTTCGAAATTTTCATAGAAAAGAAAACAGACCTGTCAAACTGCCGAAGTGACAGCTTATTCCATAAGCAATAACAAATTGCCGTATCTCCGCAGGCAATAGACACGGCAATACAGTTAGTATACCATAGAATTTATTCTGTCGGGATGCCGCATACGGTTAATGTTATCGTAGATGAAAAACGGTAAGATTGAGAATTTTTACTCACAGTGCTTAAAATGTTTACTAAAAGTAGTGATATTGGTCTATATGAAATATGTGTAGCATAGGAGATGATAATCTTGTTGATGAAGGCATCAGCAGCCTTATGACACCACAAGAACAAATGTTACACTACTTGCCAAAAGCAACTTGTTATAAATGCGGTAAAGAGGACGAATTGTATAAGATACATTTTCGCGAAGCGGAATGTAAGAATTGTTTTCTGATGTTTGTGAACCATAAATTCCGAGCAACAGTTGGATCTTCTAAAGCTCTTCCAAGAAATGCAGACATTCTTTTAGTGTTTGATGGAAGTGCTGAGTCTGTAGTCTTGCTAGATATGTTACAAACGGCGAAATCGGAACCAAATTTTAAGAGACTGCATTGTTTCCTCAAAGTTCTATTTATTGATGATTACGAAGCCTACAAAGGCAGTTGTGAAATAAATGATTATAAATTGTATATACAGCAAGTGAAAGATCTTTTACTTAGCTACGATAATATAAAATGTTATGTTACTAATTTAAGATCTAGCAAACATCAAAAGCCATTTGGTATTAAAGATATGGACCTATATTTGAACAGAGAAATGGAAAAAGAAAAAGTGTTTTCCAACGACATCAAGAACATTCAAACGTCAACAAGTCGTAACGAATTTATAAAACTTTATCGAAAGAACTTGATAGCTTCTATGGCTACGATCTTAAGTTGCAAATACGCTTTTATACCTGCAATAAATATAAGTATAGCTACCGATCTGCTCTCAGCCGTTGCGCTTGGACAGGGAAATAACGCCGCATATGATGTTGCCTTCAAAGATGATCGTTTGATTAATGGGATCAAAATCATGCGTCCAATTAAAGATCTAAGTGAAACAGAGGTTTTACTCTATTTACGTGCACGAAATATAAAATGGTGGGATATACGGGATCATGTTATAATTGCTTCAAGCAGTATACAACAAATAACTGGGTCATTTATACGTAACTTACAAAAAAAGTACAACTCCACCGTTTCAACAATAATTTGTACAGGAAATAAAATCACCTCAAATAATGACAGTTATGAAGAATTTGAGAAAAAATGCTGTTTGTGTAATTCTTCAATAGTTAACTCTGAAACTCTGTCAGCTGTTAGGTATTCTCGATATGTCTCTGAAAGAACGTCAAGCGATTTTGATTTAGACACAAACTTCACAAAATTCTTGAACTTGACCCAAAACCAAGATCAAAAAGTATGCCACAGTTGTCAAAATATAGGACGGGATAGCGATATTAATTTAATAAAGCATTATTTGTAAAATATTGATTTAAATTCATTCAATATAAAACATTTAAAATTTTTTAATTATACGTGTTCTTAATTTCTGTGATGCATTCACAGCCAAAATTACGATAGAGGAACACCTATACACACATTTACCCTCCTCAGACTTGAAGTTTTCGTGTTCTGTAAAGTGAAAAGTAAAGTAGTTCAAGCTATTTCATTATGTTTAACTAAAATTACACACATTTTCAATTATATATTTTTAATTACACTGCAGATACTGAAATAAATCTAAAATTTCTATTTGTTGTGTATTTTAAAGAAAATAAATACAACTAAAAAACTATTTTGCGCAAATTTCTTTATTTGAAATACTCTATAAAAATTTTCGACTTCAAAAGAACTATGAACACCGGACTAGTGTAATTCTTTTGAAGAACGGCCAAAGACCGCCAGGGCGGAAAGAAGGACGTCACAAAGGAACCATGAATTTATTGTTGGATCAACCTTTGGCGGTCGAATAAAAAGCACGAATTTCGATGTAAGTGGAGTATCTGCTGATAGGGAAGCTTCTCCAGATTATGAATATGCAAAAGTAATGTTGCATACACTTACTCTTTTTAAAATACTCCCGATTAAAAATTTAAAAACTTGTATCAATAACATGCAAATTCCGATTTCTTTGGCGCCGCGTTTTGAAGGTACCGTTGGAAGAGGAAGTCCTGATTAAAACGTTTAGTTTACGATATATTCGACCTAAAAGTTCAAACATTCTCAATATTCGAATATTTCTAGAAGCTATTTTACCACATTAAACACTCTTTACACATTCTTCACTTCAAATTAATTAAATTAAACTATAAACTTTTAAATAAATTTACATTTTATACTTTTAGTAGATTTTTTTATCTAAGAAAAATTCCATTTTACACTCGTACAAAACMTCATTTGTGTGCTAAAAATTACGACGAAATAGAATGCTGCCATGGGATAATAAGAAAATTGAAATTCCTTTTTTCTCAAAAATTCCGCTATCCATTCATAGGGATAAGTTCCTTATTTAATTAAATAAATATTATATAATAATATTATATATGTTGTCACCTATAATACAAAACAACGTATTATCAAAAATAAATAGAAATCGCTGACAGATATAATATAATAACCAAAATTTAACCATTTTGTAACGAAAACTCAAATTTCGTTTCAATATGATAATCAAGAAATATAATCATTATATAATGAAAACTCAATATATTTTCTTATTTGAACGCAGAAAGTACTACACGAAATTACTTCAGACAGTCGAAGGCCACCAACGCAGAAAGGAGTACTACGCAAAAGCACTTCGGACACCCCGATATGATATACATTTTATAATATTATCATAGATTTTAACTTATTTGTGTTTATTAAATATAAATCACATATTATACATATACATATGTAGATGGAAAAAGTGTTCACAACTCAATTATAACTTGAAAAATGTTGGGAAAGCATTTTTTATTATAGTTAATATAGAAAAAAGAATCATGCGAAAAAACTAGCAAAGAAAAATCATTAAAAATCCTACATATTTGCTGTTTAAGATGTTGCAACGCTGGTTTTCCTCATAATTTTAAACAATCTAACCTTTTCAACGTTGAGTATACTAAGTCATTTTAAATTAATAAATTTAGGTAAAATATAACAAAATAAAGTGAAATGTTAACTTATTTCAATGTCTAGAGTGTATATTTAAATATACAGAATGAAAAACGTGGAAAAACTTACTGAAATATAGAGAAATACCATGTGTTATTAGTGC